GGGCAACAGGCTTCGCCGCGTTAGAAGGGAGTAGGCTAGAAGAGACAAAATAGTCGAATTGGATGTTGCATAGTAATCACAATTCAAATTGGAAGTCTCAAACAATCAAAGCGACCAAATCAACAAAATCCAAGAGACCATATAGGGATTTTCAAATTTCCGGATTCTTTTCTTTTTTACGATCGTTGATCTCCTGCGATTGTGCGATTGCACGATCCGGATCGACGATCCTTCGGACCCGATGGATCGGATACCTGCTGGCGATCTTCGGAATCGTAGGATCATACGATCCAGATCGCGATCTTGACAAGGCATGAGCTTCATTCCTTGTTGAGAGTTTTTTATTCCACCTGAAAAGCAATAAAAACAACAATGTGAAAAGGGGGTTCAAAGTGGTGTAGGGCACCTCAAGTAATGCAACAAAGGAGTCCCTTATCCCCACTTTCATGGCGTAGAGCACCTCAAGTCATATGAACAAAGCCACTGTCATAGTGCAAGTTCATATAATCAAGATTCAAGATGGAATGCAATCCGCAAACATAAGCATATCTCCTGAACAAGACTACTCTCGAGGTGCAAGACTGGAACTACTCTCGCATAGAGGTTTCTACAAATATCCATAAGCCTTGTAACCATTCAGTCTTACAAATTAACAATTAAGATTCATAACTTCATAGAATAAACATACACTGCCTAAGATTCTTAACGAAAACCCATCATCAATCTCTATTCCCTATTGAAACCTAGGTTGCACGGGTTCCCCGATCTAGTGCTGTTTGCCATCTCGGAACCGTCACGGGGACGGGGACGCCGGCGGTGGTGGCTGGAAACACACCAGAACCGTCGCAGAATCTAAAGATTCGTCGGTGACTTCATGGGAAGCGGAAACGGGAAACAGGGGACGCACCTGGTTCGGATCTGCAGTTCGACCCGACGACCCGTGCCCCAATTATGTATTCTTCTCTATATGCGTGTATATGGTATGAGGTCACCGATAAAAATTAGGATTTTTTAATACTTCGTAGTCCGTATAAAACGTGTGCGTATTAGCTTTCAATTAGTCGACTAACCTACAGTACCGGTACACGACCCTTATTCAACCTCTGCTTTGGGCGTTCCACCTTATCTCTTGTTAAAAAATTTGCGAGAACTTGTTTGTACTTATTTAATTTTCAAGGCACTTTATCACTCCATATTTCAATTTTAATTTTATTTTTTCAAAAAAAAGAACAAATAAATCTACTGTATGCTAAGTTTATTTGTTAGTTATATTTTCAAGGCACATATAAAACGTGTGCGTATTAGCTTTCAATTAGTCGACTAACCTAAAGTACAGGTACACAACCCTATTCAACCTCTGCTTTGGGCGTTCCACCTTATCTCTTGTTAAAAAATTTGCGAGAACTTGTTTGTACTTATTTAATTTTCAAGGCACTTTATCACTCCATATTTCAATTTTAATTTTAATTTTTCAAAAAAATAAACAAATAAATCTACTGTATGCTAAGTTTATTTGTTAGTTATATTTTCAAATACTTAGTATGATACTTTTTTGATGATATAAATATTTAGTTTTTCACCCTTTTGTCATATCAGAGACGTATGTCATTGGTTTGTTATATGCTAAAAATTACTTTTTACATTTATATTTAGTATTTTATTACTTTCTGTTGCCGTATCCTAGCCGTCCTCGCATCCTGTAATTTTTAAAAATGCCATTTTCCGCTCCTGTCCCTGTCCCCGTATATGTGCCCGCACCCGTCCCAGTGCAATCTAGATTGAAACTTCTCACGAGCCAAGCAATATAAGTTATTACAAAGCTTAGAGTAGAATAAGAAATACACTTGCCAATCAATTGGCATCATAAGTACTAAGAGGCAACAACCACTGTGCATGTCGGGCTTCTCTAGCTTAAAGAGGCTTTAAAGAGCTATTGTTTTCTTTACTGTGGGCCTTGCGACTCTTGTGTAAGGAGTTATGCCTTCCACAATTTTTCCCTCCAAAGTCGAAAACATAATGTTCCAAGTTTCTAGATGGTCTATAACAGACTTTTATACCTGACAAATGTCACCATTAACATAGAGAAGTCCATTTTGAGTGAAACAACCATTCGATTGGGAAAGCATGTTGAAGTATGAAATCATCATATATCTTCATTTGGAGCACCACAGAGGCATATTGGACATAATTTATGAATTAGGACATGTAGAAAGTATATTTGAACGTGTCTCTCCTATATTTACTTCTATTCGGTTTAGAACTTTTTCTTCATTCACATACTCGTTCTGTTTACAGGCAAGAATTACGTAGGGAACGTGAGAAGCAGAAAGAAGAACAATTACATGCATTGAAGCTCTCCATGCAAAGTGGAATGGTAAACATTTTCTCATCACATGAATCTGAGCATGAATGATCATTCGGGTCCTTTATGGTATATGAGTATCTTGCAATGATTCTTTTATTTTGAGTATATAGGCACAAGCAATGAAAGAACAAGCTCAACTAAAGGAGGAGATGGCATACCAGTACAAGCTTGGCAACTTTGAGGTTAGAGCAACTTGATAGATGGATGATTACATGTACCTCGTATTCCCTTATTACTACCTTCATTCAAAATGAACTGTCTGTTATGATATTTATGATACATTGAAAAATGAATGAATGTAGACATGTGTTGTGTCTATATTCATTTACCTTGAATGTATCATAAAAGTCATAATACACAGTTAATATGGAATTGAGGGAGAACATTGGGACGCAATAATGATGCTTTAAGGTTTTCAATATTTATTTTTTTTTTGAATGCCCTCACATAGGCTGCAGCTGCTATACAAAGGCGTTTAGATCCGGATGTTGCCATTTAGAGCTGGTTGTTTAGTCTTAGTGTGATGTGAATGGCGGACTGCATGCTTGAGCTGGTTGGGCTTCTGCTTATGTTTTTACTTTGACGCCTGGAATGGTGGTGGGGAAACTGCAGTTTGCTCGCGTCCCCTTTTTTTTACAGTTTTGTACATACCATACAAAGTTCCGTTGGCCAATATTTTGTAATTTTGTTATATTCACGTCATAGCTAGTCTTGTCCCAAGAGAATCATTGCAAGATAGTCATTTTTTCCTACTATGCAATATGCAACTATAAGCCATTGCATATTTCTCTGTCAAAATGACTACTTTCTTATCTCCATTTTCTCATTTGTCTCAAAATTATACGGAGTGTATCTTAATGTATCTGTCTATTACCATTCCGTCTCATACTTTGTCCTATTTTGACTTTTGTGGTTAATTTTTTAAAATTGTCTGTAAATTACTAAAAAATACATTGATTTGTGATATAAATTGAACATAATGTATTCACTTTGAAACATAGTTTTAAAATATCATAATTTTATAATCTATGTTTATATATGAATATATATTAATGGTAAAAGTGTTATAATGAAGATCGTAAAAAATCAAATAGGAAGAAAGATGGAGAACAAAGAGTAGTAGTTTTTAAAATTGAAGTAGAGTTTGATTTTACAGTGATCTTGAGTCTAGGGTTTTTATACTTTCATTTTGATTCATCCATTGCTTATGAAACATAGTTATTGGTAGCAAGTGGACATATGATTATTGGCTTTGAAATTTTATAAATTTTGATGTTCTTATTTGATTTTTTAGGCTCCAATTAGTTTTCTAATACTTTTGAAAGACAAATGTATTGTGATAGACAATATTGACTTGAATATATATTTCACAAAAGATTTGTATTCAGATGTCACTGGAAAACTAAAGAACAGTATATAGATTTGTATTCAGATGTCATTGGAAAGCTATAGAACAGTATATGAGTCTTTGGTTCATTGGTTTTAGGTTTCATGCACCTTCAAAGAAATTTAGAGAGAGTCTTTAGCATCTGATTCCAATTGGGTTAAGATGGTTGAGCATTGGGTTGCTGCCCCTTATACTTACATTCTGAGAGTATACCTATCCTTACACAATGCAGCCTCATTGTATTTCATATATGTGACTGCAGGGGGTGGAAAGGGTTAAGCCTTCTCTATAAGCGTGTTGCAAGGTATACCCTTACGATTAATGAGAACCTAGAAGATTATTGTACACCTTGATTTTTAGTAGAAAAGTACATGGCCTTATGTGAATATGTGATGGATGTCATCATACACCCAATCTGAGATCCATGCATGTGGGAGAGTTCACTTCCAAAATTTGACCCTCCCAAGAACATGAAGAAGAGGGGAAGGCCAAAGAAGTACAAAAGAAGAGATGGAGTCGATGATATTATTGCAAACCAACAGAATAGCTCACGGATAAAGAGCTGCGGCAAGTGCAGAAAGCTATGACAAAATCACAACAGGACTTGTGACAAAATCACAGCAGTTTTTTCCTCAAAAAAAAAAAAAACTTCATCGACAAGAGACATTGGAATATGGGAACGATGGGATTATCATTTTCCATAGAGAAAAAAAAAGCACTTTTCAACGCAAATTATAAGGTACATCTGGCTGTATCGTTTTTTCGGTACAGCCGGCAATTATATCGACGGAAGGGAAGGCGCACCGACAAAGAAGGGACCAGCTGATGCAGCGGCAATAGAAGTTGAATGTCGTGGAGGCTGCATGGAGGAGGCCGCAATCGGTTGGTGGAGGCTGCGTGGAGGAGGCCGCAATCGGTTGGTGGCGGCTGCGTGGAGGTGTGGGATGAAGGTGTGGCCGCGATCGGTTGGTGGCACTTTGCAAAACCCTAGCGAGATTAGCAGGCCATGGCAGTGCGGTAGTGAGGATGGGGATTATATTTTTTTTGTCAAATTTGAAGAAAATAGGGAGTAAGCAATACTATCATATTAGAGAATGAGTATCGCTTTGTTTCACAATGAATACTGTGTTATTCGTAAATGAGTATTAAACAAATGTATGAAAATGAGTACTACATTATTTTAAAATGAGTACTATTTTATTTCAGAATGAGTATTACGTATTTAAAATGAACGTTTACATATATCTGAGAATGAGTACTACTTTACTTCAGAATGAGTACTACTCGGATGTACCTAATTCTAGATACAGCCCGTTGTACCATATACACACTCACTTTTCAAAGACTGCAATTACTCAAATTGGGGATTCATACTTATTCCGACTAAATAAAACACAGAACTTAGTTAATTGCACTTAGAGTGAACAGCAAGCAATACAGCATTATTCAGACTATACAGAAGCATAATCGGTGTTTTACAGCCATATATAGACATACAATAAAATAAGAGTGGCGAGTTTAAACAAAAGACAAATATGGCTGAATTTCCTACCGGGCAAATAATCTAACAGAACTTCTCTATGCAGGTGCACAATGTTGATTTGGGAACAGCACCAATCACTGCATCCTTTTTCTCCCCATTTTTGAAAATCATGACTGTTGGGATGCTTCGAATCCCATATTTGGTTGCAATTGCCGGGGAATCATCCGTGTTTACTTTGTAGCATTTAAGCTTGCCCGCAAATTCCTTTGCTAGTTCATCAATAACTGGATGGATCATCCGACATGGACCACACCACGGCGCCCAAAACTCAACAAGGACGGGAACATCAGAGTCAAGGACAAGTGATTTCCATGTTGCATCAGAAACTGGTGGTACTGCAAAATTCAGATATATATTACTTCCTCCCTCCATCTATTTTTGTCTAATTTTTTTTATTTTGTATTGTTTAGAAATGGGTTTCATACAAAATCATTATCAACCGCACATTTCTACCTTTTCTTAATCTACAGCACAACTCCATGTCCCAGACTTGGTGGGACGGAGAGAGAATCACTACAACAACAATTCAGTGATAATATGTGCATCAGATTTAGCCATCATTAAAAGGAGTTAAAGCATCGATGAGAAGCACATATGCATCAACAGTGCGAGTTCTTAATTGTGGTAAGAAAAAAACTGAAAATATGATGGTCAAATGAAATACTCCCCCATTCCAATTGAGTTTTCTACTTTCTCATTTTAGGCGTCTGGAATCAGGTGTCAAACAAATGATAAATAACTATGAAAAAAAACCCATTGGAAGTATATTAGCCTTTTTATTATCATTAATGGTACACTAGTTTCAAGGAGTTAAATCGAATTTTACCTACAATCCTTAAATATGTCATATGAGCTATTTTGGGAAGTGAACTAAATCCATATGATGGTAGTAGTACGCAACAGGAGGATAAATTCCAATGAAGTAACACGACACTTGCACCTTCAGTGATTCTAATGCAGATCATGATATGAAAAATAACAACTAATTCTGAGTTTGCTTAGTACAAAGCCAAAAGGTCCAGAATAGGAACATGAGTATAAAGCAATTCTCATTGGATAGTCAGAACAAAACATTGTTAGCACAATGTATTAGATGTTGTAGAAGTAACACCAAATTTTGTTATGTGGTGTTCAGAATTTAGAAGGAATCACAGATTGAAAGCATCGAACATGACAAATAAGGATGAACAAACTAACAAAAATGTAGACAAAAATGCATAACTTTTTATGTATAAGTTGGAAGCTAAAAATGTTTTTGGTAATGGAAGATTGAAATCTAAGAAGAGACTCATGTACGCATACATGAAACAGCATTTCCACCTCCCACGTATAAAGATTACTCTGTAAAAAATAGTGTTCACAATACATGAATGTCTACAGTTTACAAATCGAGGAAAGAAAATCAGACACATCACAACATACTTAAACAAATCAAAAGTAAAAAGTAATCAAAAGAAATCAAGAGTATATCAAAAACAACCCAGTATAATATCAACTTTGTTGGAGTCTTGCAGTCAAAGATGTACGAAGCCTTGCCCTATTAAATACTTTGTATTTAATAGAGAGGAACTAATAGAGTTTAATGTGTACATAAACTAAGGAACTAAGAGAGTTTAATGTGTAAAAAAACTAAAGATGACTAATGAGTGATTTTGATTTAGTGATTTTAGTCCATTATTTACCAGAAGCCAAAACATTACTAATAATGATTTGTATAGCTCCAATTACTTTTGAAAAGAGAAGTTAATTAATCTCCTGGGAAACTTAACTTAAGGTGATATTGCATACTCACTCTTCCTTAATCTGCATATGTATTTTTTTCTTTTATATTATATTAATGCAGGGAAAAATTGAAAATGATTTAAATTGTTCTTCTTGATTTCCTCTGACATGTCCCCAAGGTACCCTGATATCTCCCACCCGTGCCCCCATTTTACAGAAAAAAGTGGGGTCATATAGTTTGCGAGCTGATTTGAATCACGCTGTACGACAGACTTGACAGTGTCCCTGCATGGCCGGCAAACCCGGCATGCATATTTCAACTCTAGATAATTGTGTGGGCACTTCATAGATTTAAGTTTTAGTTTAGATTAAGAATATGGTGGGTGCTTACAGATCAACTCAAAAAAGATTCATTGCCTATGTAAATTGGAAAAAATCAATTTTGGATTTCATTGTTCAAAACATTAGAGATTCAAGTACTCAAATAGCAACACGATACATATATAAGAAACCCAGTTTTACATTTTACTCTTTGTGTCACTAAAGCAGACAAGCTTTCCAACTTTTCCAAGAACCTAAAAAATTTAGATTATTCAGCACATACTAAACTGTAAAGAATCATGTTGGACCAATAATTAGAAAGTGGTTTAAGGAACATAAATCAATGATAAAAATATGTCTTGGGGTAGCGCCCAGTCTCCAACCCAGCTTAATCCCACAAATTTGGTAAGTTTTTTGGCCTTTTTTTATCAAACCAGGTTGTCATCTGACTGTTCATCGCACCAAGTTGATGTTTTTGTGTGAAAATTTTTCTCGGCTTCTCTTTTCAAACTTTTTACAAAGACAATGTGGAGTATTGTAAGGAAAACTCATTTGAGGTATTAGTTGGTATGGTGATTGGTATGAAGTATAACTATTTCGGCATGACATATCAAACTTCAAACCACTTTAGAGGGGTTTAATATGATGGAACCTAATAGCTTTCCCGGGTAGGTAAATTACTTTCTGCTCATTTAATTTTAAACATACCAAAAACATACTCGGTATACAGTTTGGGTAAAGTTTGGTCAAGCTTTAGCTTTAAATTCACCCACCCTCCTTTGGAAAACAGATGTCAAGGACGATCCCTGTAATTGGAGGATTGTAAAGGATATTGAAATTCTAGTTGGGCGTTTCCTGGGGAATCTCCAGGATTTCCCTATTCGAACGATCTATTACCATATCAAAATATTTGAGGCATAAAATTGTTCACAGATTAAAGTGGGAATATTAATTTTATTGGAGCATCCCGTATTCCCGTCATTTCTAAAACATTACTCCTATCACTTAGTAAATTATTTGAATAGAGCATTCAAAAAATCAAAATAAAGATGATTTACAACCGCCAAATCTCACAATCAATCTTCCAACCACATACCTAATCTTCACTTAAATCGAAAAAAAAAACATAAACATCACTAACCTTCGGTAGCCACTTTCTGAGCCTCGCAGACAATCCGACGCCCAGAGGAAGATAATCTCGAGATGGAGGCAAGTGAAGAAGAGGACCGAGAGTGCTGGATCTTAGATCTTCGAAAGTCTGCGAACCTAACGGAGTTCCGGCGAACGGAAACGGAAGAAGCGGAGATCGGAAATAATAACGCCGCAGAGGCACGAGGAACGGTGATTGTTTCCAAAACGGCGGCCATGGACGGAAGGTCTTGGTTTTCCCACGTAGTAAAACACCGGATATCTACAGGGGAAAAGTGTGAAAGGTTGGAACTTGGAAGCAGTAACGTAAGCTCTGTGCGAATCGGATGATAAATGGATGAGGCAAAATATGCACTCTTCACCACCACGCGTGTAAGGCTCAATTCCTTGCCACTTATTAGTATTTTATAGGCTTATTATTTAATTTTATTAAGAGGTTTGTATTCAATCTAGATTTTATAATATTTTGATAGATTGTCTAGAATGTATGTATTCTATAAAATCAATGGATTATTTTAAGTTTATGCAGAATTAGATAGATTTTACTATATTTTATCAACAAGATTTTATAGGATTCTAATAAATTATTTATAATCTATGGATTATTTATATAAATATTAGAATTATTATAAAAATTCATAGATTACTCTAACATTAATTATACTTTTGAAATTGATTAAAAACTTAAAAAAATTAAAAAATAGTATTAAAAAAATTATTTTTTTACACATTATTATAATTATAAATTTATTGGCATACGTAAAATAGAACTTGATTGAAAGGGAAATAAAAACACACGAGGGAAAAACATAATTTGTTTTAAATAAAAACTTTTCATACATAATACAAAACTACAATACGAGTGCATATGTACGGATGTACCATAAGAAGATATTAAACCAAATATATTTTAAAACAACTTAATAAACCAAAGTAGTCTAAAACAATTTAACAAACCACAAGTACTATAAACTCTCAATCAAAATAAAGTCATATAACAAGTTTAAAATAAAGTTGCATAATCATTTCATTCATCCTAATATATCTTCTCATTTTATCCTCTCATCTTGTGCGGCATCCAACTTAACCGTTCTTCAGGTGACATTTTCAAGAAGACATCTTTTTTTCCTTTGCTATCAAGCAACTCAACCACCTTAAACTGGGTATCCTCCATCTAAGCCCGGGGTATTCTTGATGGCTTCCCAAATTGTATAAGATTAGATAAGATGAGATGTATGGTGTGTTTGGTTGGGCGTAAAACATTTTCCAGGAAATTTTTGATTCCATTTTCATATGTTTGGTGATATTAGTGGAAGGAAAATTTTTTCTTACCAAACAATGAATTATATCATTGAAGAATAATTTTTCTTGGAATTATTTTCCTTTGGAAAATATTCTTTAAAAAAATATTTTATCCCCAACAAAACACTACCCTAGTTAGATTAGGGTTCCGTTCCATTTGTCTAATCTAATCTGATTTTTTGAAGTTTTGATCTGATTGGATCTGACTAGACTCGTACCCAGTGGCGGATCCAGAAATCGCAAGTACTGGGGGTGAGACTACTACAGGGGTTCGGGGGAAGCGCTTCTGTTTTTTCTTCAAAATAACAATGTGAACTTACAAAAAATATTGTTTTTACTCAATAACGCATTCAAATAATTAATGAATAATCTAAAAAATATTTCCTATAATTTTATTTGCTCTAAATAATTTTTAATTTTGACTCAATTAAATTTTAAATATTTTTTTTTAATGGTAGATATTTAATTTTTTACTTAAAATTTATTTTTATTATGGGAATTTTTTTTCAATGGGGGCATAACTTTTTTTTAAAGAAAAATTAGGGGACTACTATGGACACTTTTGAAATTCATTGGGGGCAATTGCCCCCATTAGGTTATACCTAGATCCGCCCATGCGTACCCATGCGTTGCACAGGCTAATTATTTAGTAAAAGATTTGAGATTGCATACATAAAATAATAAAATAATAGCTATATTAGATATATGTAAAATGTTAATTCATTAGTATATATTATGAATGATAAAAAAAGATACTCTTATATTGCTAATAATATAGAAATATAAATTATGGAGTGTAATAGTTTTCAATGGACATTTTATACATTTTGAAAAAAACTTTATATCCTACATTTGTAGTTCGGTCGGATACCGGATGCTCTTTAACCTATTGTGATTTGTGACACATGAAATAATAACATATAATTGTTCACGACTAATTATTCATTTCTTTAAGAAAAAAGTTCAATGTGCATGGATTAGGCGTTGACTTTTGTGAACACTCATTGTTTACAAAGTCATAATTGGGAATATATTTCGTTGAAACTTAAATGAAATTCTTATTTCTAACAGTGTAAGACACAACATTTGCATAAGAACTTCATGGCTTACATTTTTCTGTCATGACAATCCATTGAATAAGATGACTCTTCAATCGCGCTATAATCAATATTGTTCCATTGCTCAAATTCATTGAAACGTTAATATTTCCAACAACAATATATGGGTTTTGATCTTTAACTTGAGTTCATGATTTGGCACTCCGAATGCGCGTATGTTGTTGAAAAATTAGGAGAATGCAAGTCTAATAAAAAACATGTATTTGAACGTGGCTTACACAAAGTATTCGAGCTCACATAATTATTCCCTTCCAACATTATTTATGAAGGATGTCATGTAGTCATTTATGACATCCACGTCAATAGTCAGAGCAAGGATGAGTCAATTTTACAAATAGATCTGATCATTTCTAAGGTTGTGGAAATAACATCAAATTTGTTATACGATATACTCATTATGTATATCGTTATGATAAAAAATACACCCCATAAAAATAATGAAAATGATTATCCTTACTCTTCTTTAAGTTACTGCATAAATTGTCAAAATAAATATTATCGAAATTTACTTGACATGTTTTTAAGGTTACGTTAAATTTCAAATATGTTAAGAAGAATGCAAATCAATAAAAAAAGGAGAGTCAACACTGGCTTAAAATACAATATGCCCTAAAAATTGTTCGACCATGCCTTCCAATATAACCCTATATATTCTTAATTAAAATTTTAAAATGTAAAAATAATTTTAAAGCATCATCAAAAGAAAAATGTCATACTCATAATTAATTTGACACGCATGCATCCATTAAATTAGAACAATTATATACAGAGTAATTTTGGAAAATCATATTTCTATTCTAGTTTTTGATAATGAAATAATATACGGAGCAATTTAGAGTGTCAATAGCAATTAAAGAAAAGGTAAATATTATTTCTTTATTATTTGTTTGAAAAAAGATAAGAAGATAGAGTACTCCATATATGTTGAAGACCCATGCTAAGAGTATCTCCAACCATTGAGTTTTGACATATTAAATGTCATTATTTGGCAATCCATTTCAATATTTGTGCTCCAAGGGGCTTGCTATATTATAACACACTTGGTAAATTTTAACTTTGGCTTATCATATATAACAAACCTCTCAAAATATAGCAAATCATGATATTAATTAAATGTTTAATTTCTCTCTTATTTTCTCTCATTCTCCTTCTCACAATATTTAGTTACTTCAACTCTATAATTTTTTTATTTTTTGTAAAATTCTTTTCTCTACCCTTTAGTTGGTATTTATTAAATGTTTAAAAAAATGCTCTTTATATTTTATTATTTTCCCTAAAGTAAAATATTACTCCGTATTGTTTTTTGAAATCATTATTTTTAAATTACATAATTATTTCTTAATTTTTATAATATAAATTATAATTGAATAATTATTATAAGGAAAGTATTATAGAAGTGAAAAAATATAATATCATTGTTAGCTAAATTATACTCCCTCTGTCCACCATAGATCTTCCCAGACACTATTAACAGGGTCAAACTTAATTACTTTGTTTGTTTATTTTCACTACTCATTTCATAAAATAATATAATGTTATCATCTCTAGTTTTGTAGAACTTTTCATGTAGTTTATTACTACATAGATTTTATATTAAAATTTTACCCCTATATCCAAATAAATTGAATTGATAATGAAGTCGGTCAAGCCTCGTAACGCGCAATGAGAAGATCTTAGGTGGGTGGAGGGAGTAGCAAGGGAAGGTTGGAGATGACAATGTAAAATGGCTTTCTATACCACTATTCACATACTAAAAAATAACTTTAGCAAGTCATGTTTAGCAAGTATGGTTGGAGATGCTCTAAGATACAACATTTAGGTCATGTTCTCTTTATCTAATCCAATAGACATAATTCTCATGTTAAATACTCTCCCCGTTCTTAAGTATTTTGTCCACTTTTGACTTTTTCCAGTCAAAAATTGTAAACTTTAACCTTAAATAAATAAAAATGATATTAGATATTGATACAAAAATAGCTTTATTAGATTTATTATATCAAATAATTTTAAAATATTATTTATCTAATTAATATATAATATATTTTATTTAATTATAGGTCAAAAGTTGAAAATAGTTGATCGTAAAAATTCAAAACTGGACAAATACTCAGGGACAAAGGTAATAAGAGTAAAAGAGGTTGATTCAAACATTAAATGTATTTGATAATTCTCATTTTTAATAATGAAGCATCTCAAAATAAAATAAAATAAATTGCCTAATATTGAAACAAAACATAATTCTTATGCTCAAAATAAGATTGACATGTTTTTATTTCTAAAATAAGACTATTATATTATGATAGTATAACACTGTATATTAGTATTCTATAGTATGTTTTTGTATTATATATTAACATTGTAGATATTTATAGGTCCTATTTTAAAATAAAAGCCTATATGTCATATTTTAGTTCTTTCCATATACTCCCTCCGTCCCAATTTATAACGTCTATTTTCTTTTTTTGTCCGTCCCAAAATGATATGCCTGTTTCCTTATTTGGTATGATAAATTTTGTGTACTTCCCAAAATACCCTCCATGTAATCACTCCTACCCAACAAATCATCTTCCCTCATTCATTCTCGATCTTATCTTTCTCTGCGTCTCTCCTCTTTCTCTGCCAGACGTAATCCTCATCCTTCCTCTTTCATCTTCCCTGAGTCTCTCCTCTTTCACCACTTTCCTCTCTCACAGATCTGCTCTTTCATCCTTCTCGTCTTCTAACCTTTCATCTTTCTCCTCTGTCCTTTCATCTATTCTTATTTTTCTGGAATTTGGATCTAGGGTTTTTCTTTTATGTATCTGCGATTTAGATCTAGGGGACACCTGACCCCTTCGGGATCTAAGGTTAGTTTTTTCTCACATTTTTGTATATTAATCTTATTTCAACAATCTAATTAATGTTTTCATTTGTTCTTTCTGTAGATCGCAGAGATGGATGGAACAGATGATGAAATGGATTTCTCATCTGCCCCTAGTACTCTCGATTGATACGAATCAGAGCTCGAATATGTTTTTGACGAGATTCGTATTGAAAAGCAGATGGAAATGGTGAGGGAAAGGCTTGCTGCCTATTACAAGCCCAAAGATGATGAACCTAAAGAGGTAAAGAAGAAAGAGGAAGAGGATGATGATGACACCCAATCTGAGTCCTACGAATACGAAGAGGGGGATGATGTTCTGTGGGAATATTTTATCCCAGATCCAAAGGGACGCTACAAAGACTTCTAGGGGAGTATTCCTCTCTTCTTGTGTGGGTGTAATATTTCAATTATGTGTCTCCTTATGTGTGCTTTAGTCTACTTCCTGACACTAACTAGGAAACTAATGATGACAATTTGCACTGAATTTTGCCATATGACTATATGCCTGCGTGGTGTTTGTAATTTGCTTATAGTGAGTTTTGTTATGTTTCTGTCTATGGAACCGTAATCTGTGTTCTTAAAGCCACCCACTTCAGTTTAGTGTAGGAGGTAACATTGTGTGGCCTCCCACTATATGTAATGTGTTTGGAGGTTTTAAGACTATGAACATACATACATTCATCCCAAAAAAATGTTTGCTTACAATACTGCCCATACACACTTTTGACAAAAAAACCAGTTAAGTGCATATGATGAGCATATTTCAAAACCAAAAAAAATGATGAACATAATTACACTGCTTCTGATGCACTCCCTTCACCTTCCCCATGACTAGTTGGGACACCTTGTAAAGCACACACACTGGCCTGATACAGTTCAGTGCTTACCTGAAGTTGGTTTGGCAGTGCACCTTCCCTCTCTAGTCTTGCCTTTCTAATGTGTGCCAACTTGTAATTATTTCCTCCTTGTACCTTCATAATCTCTGTCATTGCTAACTGGTAACTAATCCAAACATAGTTGAGTTTCTTAGCTTCAAAATTTGCATATGCCTGAGCCACATGTTGAACCAACTCATCCACATTTCTGGTTGATTTCTGATGTTGTAATGACTGTATTGATGAAGAACCTCAGGTCTAAAATATTTAGGTCTAGTGAGTTTGGTGGTTGACAAGTTAGCTCAATGTTGTAACCATCAGCATTGGCTGCTTGCACAAACTCTGGGTCATTAACATCAATATGTGGCTTAGCATTATCCTACTGTATGATGATGTGTTTAGTGATTGCTTCTGGTACCTTCTCCTTTATTGCTGGCAGTACTTGCTGAATCATGAGTGTTCTGTATACCTCTTTTGTGATTTTAGGTATGGGTTTGGTCTCTAAAATTCCTACAGCCCTATTCTTACTCATCCTTTGTGTAGGAACTTGAATTGTTAGAGGCAAAATGCCTACTTTTCCATCCCAAATTACTTCCCCTTCAGGATCAAAGATAGGCCTCCCTACTGCACATAAGTGCATCAGTTTGGGAATGTGAGCTTTACTTTTAGCTGTCCTATGGGGCTCTCTCTCCCTTTCAGTTTTATACACTTTCAATGATTGTTTGGACATTTCAAACCATTTTTCATCCACATGAATAGTACAGGAAAAATCTTTAAAAATGGGAGAGTGTGGAAGGGATTCTGGAACAAATTGGTTTAACACAAAAGCTAACCTTTTCAACTTGTTCTCTTCTGTGAGGAAAGGTTTGATAGCATTTGTGTGGCTTTGTAGTTGCCCTTGTATGCACCTATGTAGTGTGGATTTTGGTACTTGTATGGCTACAGACAGTGAGAGTATGTTTGTTCTTCTGTGGAATGGAATGGTCTCTATCTGTTCCAAATTTAACTGCACTCTTTTTCTACCAACCATGCCAATCCTGTTGTTACTTGCATCCAAAACTGACTCATCCATAAGTTGGTTACGACATGTACGCCAAAGTGAACCAACACTTCTACGGCATATGTTGAAGTCGTTCATGATTTGTTTAATCGTGCCGTGCTGAAGTTTCCCATTAGTGGTCTTGTGAAGCAAACAGTCTAGGATTACTCTCCTTTCCTTATTTGTTAAGTTTCTCCTGGTTTTTTTAATTGGAGGACTGACCTCTTCTTCTTCATCTTGTTCTTGCTGTTCTTCTTCTTCTTCTTCTTCTTCTTCTTCTTTGGCAGGTGCAACACTAGAATTTCCTTGAAGTGGATGAAGGCTTGAAGATGATCCAGGGGCTGTTTGGCTGGAGTTGATGGAGGGCAATGGATTTTCCATTTTTGGGATGTTTTGCAGTGCAATAAATTTGTCCAGTGCTGCTTTCCTTTTATGGACTTGACAGTTTTATTTTTGGTGTAATGGAGGGAACTTTTCCCTCCAAGACTTTGATTGGATGTGTACTTAGATTAGGTGATGAATTTGGTGAATGTAATGCTTTCTTTGGATATTTTATTGTGGTGGTGCGTGTATGTGTATGAATATGTTTGTGATTTTTTGGTGTGTTCATTATTTCATTTTTAGCTTCAAATCTTTAAAAAATTAACTTAGGGGCATTTTGGGAAAGTCAACCTTAATTTTTTCTTTCCTTAAATATGGCATAAAGTCAAAATAGGTGTTATAATATGGGACGGAGGGAGTACTATATTCTTATTTAAGTTATTCTTTTAAAATAAAAAATCAAGGTTCTTTTGATCTTAAAGCTTAATGTCATAACATGACATCTCATAATATGACATCAAGCAACTGCAAATTGCCGCTCGCAAGATTGACAATTCCTGTCCAGTTAAACTCCTCACCTCGACTCGTCTCTAATGCACCCCGCACTCCCTCCAATTGCATTTTCCCAATTTTGTTGACTTTAGGATCAAATCTTGACCCAAAGTCAACAAGAGTTAGGAAGTACTATTGGAGGGAGTGACAGGGTGCATTAGGAACGAACCAAGCCGGGGAGTTTACCGGGGGTTAGGGAGAATAAGAACAATCAATTTTACAAATGAGGCACCATAGATGTTCCAATTGAATTAATGTCATTTTATGACATTAGTGAGTGATGTCAAAAGAACTCCACACAAAAAATGAAAATAAGGAAACATGTATTTTAGAAAATTCACGTAAGGCCTCATTCTAGAAGGACCAGCCCTGTTTTAATCATATATCATTTAATTATGAGTAATGCTTGGGAGACCCTAAATTTGACACCACTTTTCACCTCACTCTTCTTACAGACATTCATAAATACGGAACAGTCACAAATGTATGTGAATGTCTATAAGGTGGGGTCAAAATTGAGGTACATTTAGCATTTTTCATTTCTCCCTAGGTTCAAGAGAAAAGGCACTAGTTTCCAAACTTTCCATCATGCTATATGCGGCCAAAATCAAGCACACAATAAAACTAGGAGAAATTCAACTAACTACTTAGAAGTTTACCATATCTTTAGTCAGGCATAGTTTGCACAAACCTTTGAGAGCAGCCAATACAAAAGATAACTCTTTCCACTATAGCAGGGAACAACTCCCTCCTCCACAAGGGTCTCATGTTCTTTCAAAATGGCAAGCTCTTCGACGTTGAACTCGATGTGAGCGACTTCAAATTATCCGAGGGAACAAAATCTGGAGGCAGATTAGCCCTCTTCACTATTTTCTTCATGTTATTCTGCAAGCTCTGTTGAACTAATTGATTGACGGCTTTTTTCTCTTCACTGATCATACTGTTTTCGTCTCCCAACGCATTCTTTAGTTGATGACTTAAATATGTGGATGGTTGTGGCGCAGATAACGTTGCATTCACATCACCCAAGTTTTGTGACACGTTCTTTCCTTTGTCGACCCTCAAGCACTCCAATAGTCTCGAAGCCCTTTTTTGTGCCAATGTACTGCCTAGAAGTGTTAATTCAAGCAAGGAGGAAACAATTCCTGTCTCAAGCATGGCCTGTCGATCTGCATATGACTTATGTGCCATTACCATCAAAATGTATGATGCCTTCTCTTGGCAACCTGGGGAATCAGTCCAGTTCAAGACATCAACCAATATGGGAAACACATCAGGAACTACACTAATTGCCTTCCGACCTTCTGCTATTGGAACTATATTGCTAAGAATTGAGAGTATCCTATCACTTACTTCCATATCTCCCAACATGGAAATGATAAATGGCACTAGATCAGTCTCTATGATTTGGAAGATGTTGATTGATGAGATTGAAAGATTGTATAGGGCTCGAAGCGAGTCCTGAATAGCTTGAGGACTGTTTGTTTTATCCAAATCTTTTAGAACTTTCAATAAGAGGGGAATTGCACCCGAGGAACCAATGATTGGCTTGTTTGCATCTAACGCACTCAGACCAAGAAAATTGGCAACAATCGCTTCAATAACTGCTGGCTCTGCAAAACAATTTGAAGATTCAATACAATTTAGCATCTTATGAACAGCTCCAGCTTTCACGATCGCAGCTTTGTTTCTGCAAAAAAAAAAACTCCGAATGTTAGTGGTAATCACTTGCATAGCTAGAGAATATACTGGTGCAACATAAAACAAGAACATAAAAGGGAGAAAATATCAATTGAAGTATACATACAGACAACAACAGATACATTTGGAAGTAGGACAAAATCAACCCATCCTGGCAAAATAATACTCTCTCAACAAAGGAAATACCCATCATTTGGAAGCTCAAAACAAAACGGGGGCACCCCAAAGCTCGACTTTAAATTCACACACCTCTTACCAGATCTGGATATTTCAGAAACTCCCATTTGAAGAAAACAAATGTTACTAGAAAGATTTTGAGGATTAGTACAGTCTGAATTCCAACACATTTCTCAATTAGATATGAAAACGAACAACAGAGAGAAAGCAAAAAAGGGCAAATAATGTGTATTGCAATAGAGAAAACGATAATTTGGAAGGAGAAATACATGAATTAAGAAGGGCGAAAGAAACTTACGAGTCATTGCCAATCGCCAAATTGAGCAAAGCATAGAGGGCGGCAATGAGTGAAGACGAGTCGTCCGAGTCGAGAAGCGCTATCAACGGCGGAATGGCGCCTAACATAGCGAGTGTTGTCCGGGCCTCCGGATCATCCCTTGTCAGAATCCTCACTTCCTTGGCTCCCTGCAATACGCCGTCAGTTTGGCTGCTCTGCAACAGTTTCGTCACAAATTTAAGCCGTTCCAGGGCGTCTTCCTTTCTACGCACCCACTCCGCCTCATCTTCATCTGAGTTCTCCGACAGCCGGAGTAGGTCTGAGAGCTTGTCGGATCCAGAAACTTTTGATCCGTATTCGGATCTTTGACTCTGATGGCGGCTGTTGAGCTTCCACTCCGTCCTGGAATCGGGGCCGGCATCTGAATGCTTGTATCGCGCACTGCCGCCGCAACGTACGGCGTCGAGAATCATGCGTCGGAATGAAATGGACCACATTTTGAAATGAGTGTGACCTCCGCTGTCGGCGTGGCGGTCGAGAACGTCAGAAACGGTGTCTTTCTCAACCTGAGAATTGACCATTTCCCAAAAACAAATTTATTCGGCTCTGCTGCTGTACTGCCAATGTTTTAGTGCAGTGTCTGAGTGCATGTGTATTGTGTAATATACTCCTTCCTTTCAAAAATTTATTTCTCTTATTTTACATTTTTACTTGATACAAAAATTTTAAGAAGTAAAAAATTTAAAGATTTTCTGTGTTTACCCTTTATGTAATATGGTGTACATAAAAAGTAGGATATGATAATACATTCAATAAAAGTTGTTTGCCAAAATAAGAAATAAGAAGGCAATTTGTGCACAGTCCAAAAAGAAAAGTGAGAAAGAAATTAATAGACGGAAAGACTACGTTGTACATCCAAGGAAAATCTATTATACTACGGAGTAGCATTTACCATGGGGATGAACTCTCGCCTAACACCTCTCATTGTCACGTCATCATTTTTCTCTTTTATTACAACTAGACCTGGCAAAATAATAGATCTGAAATCGATTATCCAAATTAAACTAAATGACTTGAAATCAAAATCGAAATAATCCGAAAAATAAATCTGGTTTATAACCGAAATGATTCAAACCGAACCAAAACCAAACTAAATATATCCATACCTGATTTAAAACCGAAACCTATTAGATCTGACTAATTAGATCCGAAACTGGTTAAATCCGAAACCGATAAGACCCAAAACCGGTAAGATCCAAAACGTTTAAAACAAATAATCGATAATATTCGAAATTTATTTTTCCTGACAATAAACATATAATGTTTATGTACATTAGTGAAGAAGTACATTTGATTTTAGATTTTTATTTTACCATATGAACTAGTTATATACTAATACTACTTACTTCCTATGTCCAAATTGAATTGCCATATCTAAAAAATGTAAACATTCATATGTTTAAATTTTTTTATAAATTGGTATAAAAATAAACATTACAACTTTCATAAAAAATGTTAGTTAAAATTCATACAAACTAAGGGGGGTGTATTCAATTTGGATTTTAAAAGATTTTGATAGATTTTTTAAAATTCATGGATTATGTAAATTCATTGGATTGTTTTAAATTTACGTAGAGTTAGCTAGATTCTAATGTATTCTATCATAAGATTTTATAGGATTATGTTTTTCTTTTTTTCTTTTTTTTTTCTTTTCTTTTTTCTTTTTCTTTTCTTTCCTTTTTTTTTCCTCCTTCCCCCAAGAACCCTAGCCGGAGTAGCCGCTTCTTCCATCTTTCAAGAATGAGTCGCCGCTGGGGAAGGATGAAACGCCGCCGGGGATAGCATTCGGGGAAGGATGAGTCGCCGCTGGGGAAGGATGAGTCGCCGCCGGGGAAGGATGAGTCGCCGCCGGGGAGAGCATCCGGGGAAGGATGAGTCGCCGCCGGGGAAGTATTCAAAGCGAGAATCCGAAGAATGACTTCCGTTTGCTCTGCCACATCGATGCTGCCGGCGGCGTCATCGGGAACAGATCCAATTCGAGAAACCGCTCATCAAACGGGATGCCAGATCCAGTTCTGCCAGATCCAATTCCGCGAATCAGGATGCCCGAGCAAAACCCTAGCCAATATGAAGAAGACAACCCTTTTTTGAGAAGATGAGTTCTTGGGGAAGAAGGAGAAGAAGATTGACGGAAGGAGAAGAAGATTGGCCGAGAAAATCCACTGCCGAATGAGAAGANCATCCTTCCCCGAATGCTATCCCCGGCGGCGTTTCATCCTTCCCCAGCGGCGACTCATTCTTGAAAGATGGAAGAAGCGGCTACTCCGGCTAGGGTTCTTGGGGGAAGGAGGAAAAAAAAAGGAAAGAAAAGAAAAAGAAAAAAGAAAAGAAAAAAAAAAGAAAAAAAGAAAAACATAATCCTATAAAATCTTATGATAGAATACATTAGAATCTAGCTAACTCTACGTAAATTTAAAACAATCCAATGAATTTACATAATCCATGAATTTTAAAAAATCTATCAAAATCTTTTAAAATCCAAATTGAATACACCCCCCTTAGTTTGTATGAATTTTAACTAACATTTTTTATGAAAGTTGTAATGTTTATTTTTATACCAATTTATAAAAAAATTTAAACATATGAATGTTTACATTTTTTAGATATGGCAATTCAATTTGGACATAGGAAGTAAGTAGTATTAGTATATAACTAGTTCATATGGTAAAATAAAAATCTAAAATCAAATGTACTTCTTCACTAATGTACATAAACATTATATGTTTATTGTCAGGAAAAATAAATTTCGAATATTATCGATTATTTGTTTTAAACGTTTTGGATCTTACCGGTTTTGGGTCTTATCGGTTTCGGATTTAACCAGTTTCGGATCTAATTAGTCAGATCTAATAGGTTTCGGTTTTAAATCAGGTATGGATATATTTAGTTTGGTTTTGGTTCGGTTTGAATCATTTCGGTTATAAACCAGATTTATTTTTCGGATTATTTCGATTTTGATTTCAAGTCATTTAGTTTAATTTGGATAATCGATTTCAGATCTATTATTTTGCCAGGTCTAGTTGTAATAAAAGAGAAAAATGATGACGTGACAATGAGAGGTGTTAGGCGAGAGTTCATCCCCATGGTAAATGCTACTCCGTAGTATAATAGATTTTCCTTGGATGTACAACGTAGTCTTTCCGTCTATTAATTTCTTTCTCACTTTTCTTTTTGGACTGTGCACAAATTGCCTTCTTATTTCTTATTTTGGCAAACAACTTTTATTGAATGTATTATCATATCCTACTTTTTATGTACACCATATTACATAAAGGGTAAACACAGAAAATCTTTAAATTTTTTACTTCTTAAAATTTTTGTATCAAGTAAAAATGTAAAATAAGAGAAATAAATTTTTGAAAGGAAGGAGTATATTACACAATACACATGCACTCAGACACTGCACTAAAACATTGGCAGTACAGCAGCAGAGCCGAATAAATTTGTTTTTGGGAAATGGTCAATTCTCAGGTTGAGAAAGACACCGTTTCTGACGTTCTCGACCGCCACGCCGACAGCGGAGGTCACACTCATTTCAAAATGTGGTCCATTTCATTCCGACGCATGATTCTCGACGCCGTACGTTGCGGCGGCAGTGCGCGATACAAGCATTCAGATGCCGGCCCCGATTCCAGGACGGAGTGGAAGCTCAACAGCCGCCATCAGAGTCAAAGATCCGAATACGGATCAAAAGTTTCTGGATCCGACAAGCTCTCAGACCTACTCCGGCTGTCGGAGAACTCAGATGAAGATGAGGCGGAGTGGGTGCGTAGAAAGGAAGACGCCCTGGAACGGCTTAAATTTGTGACGAAACTGTTGCAGAGCAGCCAAACTGACGGCGTATTGCAGGGAGCCAAGGAAGTGAGGATTCTGACAAGGGATGATCCGGAGGCCCGGACAACACTCGCTATGTTAGGCGCCATTCCGCCGTTGATAGCGCTTCTCGACTCGGACGACTCGTCTTCACTCATTGCCGCCCTCTATGCTTTGCTCAATTTGGCGATTGGCAATGACTCGTAAGTTTCTTTCGCCCTTCTTAATTCATGTATTTCTCCTTCCAAATTATCGTTTTCTCTATTGCAATACACATTATTTGCCCTTTTTTGCTTTCTCTCTGTTGTTCGTTTTCATATCTAATTGAGAAATGTGTTGGAATTCAGACTGTACTAATCCTCAAAATCTTTCTAGTAACATTTGTTTTCTTCAAATGGGAGTTTCTGAAATATCCAGATCTGGTAAGAGGTGTGTGAATTTAAAGTCGAGCTTTGGGGTGCCCCCGTTTTGTTTTGAGCTTCCAAATGATGGGTATTTCCTTTGTTGAGAGAGTATTATTTTGCCAGGATGGGTTGATTTTGTCCTACTTCCAAATGTATCTGTTGTTGTCTGTATGTATACTTCAATTGATATTTTCTCCCTTTTATGTTCTTGTTTTATGTTGCACCAGTATATTCTCTAGCTATGCAAGTGATTACCACTAACATTCGGAGTTTTTTTTTTTGCAGAAACAAAGCTGCGATCGTGAAAGCTGGAGCTGTTCATAAGATGCTAAATTGTATTGAATCTTCAAATTGTTTTGCAGAGCCAGCAGTTATTGAAGCGATTGTTGCCAATTTTCTTGGTCTGAGTGCGTTAGATGCAAACAAGCCAATCATTGGTTCCTCGGGTGCAATTCCCCTCTTATTGAAAGTTCTAAAAGATTTGGATAAAACAAACAGTCCTCAAGCTATTCAGGACTCGCTTCGAGCCCTATACAATCTTTCAATCTCATCAATCAACATCTTCCAAATCATAGAGACTGATCTAGTGCCATTTATCATTTCCATGTTGGGAGATATGGAAGTAAGTGATAGGATACTCTCAATTCTTAGCAATATAGTTCCAATAGCAGAAGGTCGGAAGGCAATTAGTGTAGTTCCTGATGTGTTTCCCATATTGGTTGATGTCTTGAACTGGACTGATTCCCCAGGTTGCCAAGAGAAGGCATCATACATTTTGATGGTAATGGCACATAAGTCATATGCAGATCGACAGGCCATGCTTGAGACAGGAATTGTTTCCTCCTTGCTTGAATTAACACTTCTAGGCAGTACATTGGCACAAAAAAGGGCTTCGAGACTATTGGAGTGCTTGAGGGTCGACAAAGGAAAGAACGTGTCACAAAACTTGGGTGATGTGAATGCAACGTTATCTGCGCCACAACCATCCACATATTTAAGTCATCAACTAAAGAATGCGTTGGGAGACGAAAACAGTATGATCAGTGAAGAGAAAAAAGCCGTCAATCAATTAGTTCAACAGAGCTTGCAGAATAACATGAAGAAAATAGTGAAGAGGGCTAATCTGCCTCCAGATTTTGTTCCCTCGGATAATTTGAAGTCGCTCACATCGAGTTCAACGTCGAAGAGCTTGCCATTTTGAAAGAACATGAGACCCTTGTGGAGGAGGGAGTTGTTCCCTGCTATAGTGGAAAGAGTTATCTTTTGTATTGGCTGCTCTCAAAGGTTTGTGCAAACTATGCCTGACTAAAGATATGGTAAACTTCTAAG